AAAAAAAAAAAAAAAAACAAACCAAACCTGTTGCCGTCGAGTCAGTTCGGGCTCATAGCAATCCTATAGCATCTCTGTATGTGAAAGGCTTAAGACAGTGTCCAGCACCTGTCATGTGCTCTTTAAGGGTGGATTGTTATCTAAGTGGTTATGCAGACCCTCTGTCTCTGCTTGTGGAGCTTGTGGATTCCTAGGACAGGGTATCTATTCTCTTCGAATGTTTTCCGCTGCCAGGGCATTCTGTACATGCCCACAGCAACAGAACCTAACCTCACCAGTTGCTGTCAGGTCAATTCCGACTCATGGCCACCCCATGTGTGTTAGAGTGGAACTGTGCTCCGCAGGGTTTTCAATGACTGACTTTCAGAAATAGATCACCAGGCCTTTCTTCTGAGGTGCCTCTGGGTGGACTTGAACCTCCAACTTTTAGGTTAGCATCTGAGCCCATTAACCGTCTGCACCACCCAGGGACTTCAAGCGACAGAAAGCCCCTTGGAAATCCCATGCTTTTCAGAGCAAATTCAACCTCGGGCATCGGGAAGGATTATGCTTAGTAACCAGGCATTTTATTTTGCTTTCAGAGTATTTCTCAACTTCCCTATGGAAAAGCCCTCTACAGTTATGAGGGGAAAGAACCCGGTGACCTCAAGTTTAGCAAGGGGGACATCATCATCCTGCGACGCAAAGTGGACGAGAACTGGTACCATGGAGAGCTCAACGGCAACCATGGCTTCCTCCCCGCCAGCTACATCCAGTGCCTCCGACCCTTGCCGCAGGTCCCACCCCAGGGCAAAGCACTTTATGATTTTGAGATCAAGGACAAGGACCAAGACAAGGACTGTCTGACCTTCACCAAGGTAAAGTGAAACTACCCTCAGCACACACCTCCTCCAATCTTTGGTTCTTCTGGGCCACTTCCCGCCTCTGTGAACACATCCTGTCATCCACTCACATCTTTCCCAGCCAGAGAGAGAACCTGCATTAAGAGCATGGGTTCCGGGGCCAGACCTTCAGAGTTTGAGTTCTGGCTCCTCTATGAGACTTTGGGCAAATTATTTAACCTCCCTGTGCCTCAATAAAGGAGCCCTGGTGGTGCCGTGGTTACAGCACCTGGCTGCTAACTGAAAGGTCAGTGGTTCGAACCCACCAACCACTCCACGGGAGAAACATGTGGCATCTGCTTCCGTAAAGATTTACAGCCTTGGGAACCCTATGGAGCAGGTCTACTCTATCCTATAGGGTCGTTATGAGCCGGAATCAACTTGGCAGCCGTGGGTTTGGTTGCGGTTTGGTGCCTCAGTAACTGGGGATGATACAAGGATGATAGGTCTTACCCACTTTATAAGTGAATGAAATGAGATGGCACGCAGCCTAACACAGCCACCCAAGAACGGACACGTAGTAAGGACTTGAAAAATGGGAACCACTGTTAGCACTAATAGCAGGCCCCTCCGTTAACCTGAGGTATGGAAATTCCCCTGTGGCTTTTAAGCGGTGACTCAGGTGCAACAGAATAAAGAACCACATGGGCCTGGGAGAAAGGACAGAGGAAGCTGCTGCAAAGATCCCATCCGGCTCACAGGGAAGTAACTAGTCTGACCCAGAAATCAGTGTGGTCATAGTCCCGTCTTCTAAGAGCACCAGAGGTGGCAGGGAGCAACATATTTAGAGCCGCCGGAACCGTCCGGGTCAGACTTGCCAAGAGGGACCAGTGGTTGGTAACAAACTAAATATTACTTATCGAATATGAGCTGCCCTGGTAGATCTGAGTGGAATGCAGAGGAGCCTGGTTCTGCTGTCCTGGCCCTCTGAGGTTGTGAAGTGTTAAGGAAATTAGAGGTGACAGCACTTAAGCGCTGATGGTCTCCTTCCCGTATGGTGATAATGGCAGTTACCGTTCATTAATCGTCTATTAAATGCCAAGCTGGATTACGTGCTTTACATGCTCTGACTTGATCTTCATAAACGTCTGAGGTTCCAGGGGAAGCAGGTGGAGCCTTGTGTTCCCAGTGATGGAACCAAAGCTCAAAGACGTGAGGTTATCCAAGGTTGGATGGTCCTCTCTCTCCTGTCTCTCCTCTTTCTCTCCCCTTAGCTCTGTCCCTCCCCTCTCATGCACACGCGTGTGCACGTGCACACACACACAGACGTAAATAGTGGAGCTAGAATTCTAACTCAAATCTCTGATTTTAAAACCCACTTTCTTTCACTTCCGTACACAGGGAACCGTTCCTTTAAATCAGGCCCTCAAGTGCCTCTGATGCCAAGAGGTCATTGCTGTTTTCTCTCTTTTGCAGCCAAGCATTGAATGGTCATCTGCTCTGTGCAGAATCTGGCTGTGGTGCAGAGATCTTTGGACCACAGATAGGGCTGCAGAAGTACCACGTACACCATTTTTGAGCGAAATTGGCATGGCCAAATGGTTTTCAACTGCAACCTTATTAGGATTAACCCAGGCTATTAAGTGACTTTGAAAGTGAAAACGGGCAGAGTCACTTTCAGATGGAAAGGAGTGGAACCTCCATAAGGCTAGAGAGTCCCAGAATGTTCGCTTTGTTCTCGGCTTTTCCTCACGTGTGCATCCTCCGTGCCGCTTGCTAGGTCCCTGGCACTAACTCTGCAGCCTGGGCTCCCTGCAGTACTGCAGTGCTGAACTGTGCTCACGTCTGCTATTTATGTCTTGTTCCATTGTTCAGCCTGACAGTGAATAATCTATTTTTCCATTCAGAGATTCAACTCTTTCTTCCTTCCTTTCATCAAGGTGTTCTGATGCTAATTTCGATTGTCATCTGGCTGATGAAGCTTCCTAGGAAGCCAGCATTGAGGCCCCTCTCTTTCTTTGTCTGAGGGCCAGCATGGCAGGCTGCCAAGGATGTGACTTAGCAGGTAGATGGAACACCAGCGTTGCTCGCTTCTCTGCTGAATGGAACCCTCCCTAGAATGTCCTTTGGACCCATGATGCTCTGTACAATGACATGTGACCAAGAGCCCTGACTCCAACCACCCCTTTGGGTCCCTGGGTAGGCTCTTACTAAGGAGAGAGGCCATGTGCTTCTCCTTCCCAGGAGGAGCCTCCTCCGCAGGCTCTTCCTAGCTCAGTTGGCTTCTGGGACACAGACAAGGTCATCCTCATCAAGATGGTTTTATAGTAAGAAGCCCTCTGGGCCTCAAGTGGACTCATTTTTCACTGAAAGGTTCCAGATGTTTGGAGCCTCCTAGGCAGGCACAAGGAGCCCTGGTAGCGCAGTGGTTAAGAGCTCGGCTGCTAACCAAAAAGTGGACCGTCCAAATCCACCAGCCGCTCCTTGGAAACCCTATGGGGCATTTCTGCTCTGTCCTATAGGGTCGCTGTGAGACGGCACCTAACAACAACAGGCAGGCACAACTTCTCCTGGTGTAAGCAAACTCCTGCTGATCCTAGCCTGTGCTGGGAACACTCTTCATTCTGTAGGTGAGGACCAGAACTCATTGGACAAGAGGACAAAAGGGCATTTGGCTCATTTATCCCACAAAAGTTTATTGGGCCCCAACACTGCGCTGGGCACCCTGCTATTTACAGGGGATGCAGCAATGAACAGGCACACTAACTCCCTGCCCTCTTAGAGCTTGTAGTCTCATGGGAGGAACAGGCAATAAGCAAGTCAAGAAGTAAATGCAAAAAGGATAATTCCAGAGAGTAATGAGCTATAATGAAGCACCCAATAGGTAGGCGAAGGGTTCCGAAATATTTAATGATAAATTTTAATATGTGATATTTCAAAAGAAATGTTAAAGTAGTCCTCATGGGAGAAGTAACAACTTTGCTAGGCTTCTTAGATGCATTTTGTGATTGGTGTTGTTTTTATTTTGAATTTTGTTAGGGGGGGTAGCATGATCTTTTTGCTCGTTGCCATCAAGTGGATTCCAACTCATAGCGATCCTATAGGACAGGGTAGGACTGCCCCAGAGGGTTTCCAAGGAGTGGCTGGTGGATTCGAACTGCCGACCTTTTGATTAGTGCTGTAGCTCACTGTAGCGCTCAACCACTGTGCCACCAGGGCTCCTTTTAGTGCTTAGGGCCCATGAAAGTCTTCATCTGTCACCGTGAAGTGAGTGGGCATTAGTGCTGTGAGGCTGGGGTGGCCGTGGAAGGCCTCTCTGAAAAGGCACTAGTTCTGCTGAAATTGAAGGTGGCGAAGGAGCCAGCCATGTAACGAACGCAGCAGCTGTATCCACAGGAGGCTGTGTGGAGAGTGTCAGCACAGTATGTTTTTTCAAGGGCTTTATTTTCTTGAATCCTGTGGATTAATGTGGAGTTAGAGACCCATGGGTGTGATTCTGAAAGAAAATCATACTGTGACCCCCCCCAACCATGTTCCAGATAAGCTCTTCAACAATACCCACTTTGTCTTCTGACCCACTGCATTGGTTTCCCGGGGCTGCCATGACAAAGTCCAGCAAACTGAGTTACAGAAATTTATTGTCTCCCAGTTCTGGAGGCTGTTGTTGTTGTTGTTAGGTGCTGTCGAGTCCGTTCCAATTCCCAGCAGCCCCATGTACAACAGAACGAAACACTGCCCGGTCCTGAACCAGCCTCAAGATCGTTGTTATGCTTCAGCCCGTTGTTCCAGCCATTGTCAATCCATCTCGTTGAGGGTCTTCCTCTTTTTCGCTGACCCTCTGCTTTACCAAGCATGATGTCCTTCTCCAGGAACTGATCCCTCCTGATAACACATCCAAAGTATGTGAGACGAAGTGTCACCATCCTTGCGTCTAAGGAGCATTCTGGCTGTACTTCTTCTAAGACAGATTTGTTCATTCTTCTGGCAGTCCTTGGAGGCTAGAAGTCCAAACTCAAGGTGTCAGCAAGACCATGCTCTCTCTGAAGGCTGTAAGGACAGATTCTTCCTTGACTCAGTCTAGCTTCTGGTTGCTCCTGGCAATCCTTGTCATGCCTTGGCCTGTAGAAGCATCACTCCAGTCTCTGCTTCCATCTTCACGTGGCCGTCTTCCCTCTGTGTGTGTCCATCTCTTTTCTAAGGACATCCCTCATAAGGACTCATCCTACTGCTATATTACCTCTTGTTAACTGGTAACATCTTCAAAGACTCAATTTCCAAACAAGGCCATGTTCACAGGTACTGGAGTGAGGACTTCAACATAAATTTTAGAGGGGACACAACTCATTTAGTAACGTGAATGTACAGCAAAGCTTTGGTTAGGGGAGAACCATACCTTGACATCACTCCCGCCTCTAGTAGCTGCCCTGTTCTATCTGCATCTCTCCCTTCTAAACTTCTGTAAATATAGGCTCTAAAGGACCATAGGCATGACTCTTTTCTGCTCAATTTCTATGTTCTGTTGCCAGCATTATTTGCTTGATATTTTTCTTGAACTCTGTATTTGACCCAGCTCACTTCCTCCGTGCCTGGAATACAGTTGACGTGCACATGGCTAGTTCAGTTTAACAACTTTCGCTTATATCGCACCTTGAGTGACCAAATGGTTCTTTAGCATGATTTGGTTCATGGTAGCTTGGCTTTGGCTCCAGGGAACTTTTTTTTTTTGGATATGTTCCATTCTGGAGCCAGCAAAGAAAGATGGAGTCACTAAACACCACTGATGGTACCAACTTCCTTAAAAAAAGAAAAGAATCATTGTGGTGGCATTAATGAACTTTAGAAAGACACGAAGCAGGTGAAATCAAAGGAAAATTTTTACCTTTAGTGTACTGTTCAACAGTCCTGACTGTTAAAATGACATTAATTAAAGTCATTCTAAAACCAAAGTCTTTGTTTTATTTAAGGAAGGGATTAATAATTACTTTTTGTAAAGCAGCTATCAGAAGCATATTTTATAACTTCTTAGTAGTCCCACT